CTGGGGTTTGCACCTTTCATAGCAGGCTGTTTTCAGTACATTTTTTTCCCCCTCTATCTCACCCTTCTGCTAAGAGGAACTCACAGTTCAGTGCTCCCGAGGGAACAAGCTGCTGCAAACAGGGAAGCAGCGAGCTGCACGTGTGACCAAAACAGTTATCCTTCAGCTCAGCAGCGGGAGCGCGGCTCTGACGGCCGAGCCACGTGAGTCTCCTCAGGCTGAGCCTCTGCGGGCTGACACTGGCCGGGCTGTAGCTCCTGGCACCAGAGCAGCGGTTATGCCGTTCCAGCGCGGCTAGCGAGTATTACAGAACAAGTCAGAAGTATGCTCGACAAACCACAGGCTTAAAAATAAGGGAAAACACATTTCCTCTCCTCACCAAGGTGGGAGAGGATAGTGTTTCCTCAGGCATTGCTTTGCTAGCACAATGAGGATGGGTCCGAGCCAGTAAGTGTTTGAAAGTGCAGACAAAGCCAAACGACTGTGTTTGGGAGCACAGGGTGGGGCCACCTGCCCGGAGAAACTTCTGTGTTCATAAGTAGTATGAGCAGCAAGTTATGGTCAGGATGGAGATACAGGTGAGGATTTTCATGGGTAGCATGCACACCTACCACATCGTGAAAGTTAACACTTCTGTATCACTCTTCTTTAAGTAGAAAGAAACATTTTCTGTTCTACCCTTTGATTGGGTGAAATAATTTTCTAGTCCTGTTACTTTCCTATTAGGCACAGAGCTGATAAAGGTTACCTTGGATATATCGCTAGGCATATTTTAACTCTGTGTTTTCTGGTTTTAATCCAGACCTCCAGGACTGAAAGGGGACAACATTAAGTATATCAGTGATTTATATGCCAAGAGTCTTTTTTTGTTTTCTTAGACTATTCAGTTTTGAAGGCTCGTTTACAGATTATTTACCATGGTCTCTGATGTCCAACTCCAATATCAAGAAGATGGACTGCAAATCCTTAATTATACTTGCATGTCCTGTATGTGCTAAGAACCCATAAAACAAAACACACGCACACTTCAGACTTGTAATAGTTTGATGAAGATTTCTAAATTTTTCAAGCTGCCAGTCCATTTCAAAAGATGGATTACTCTTCTTAGGATTTCATCTACCTAATTATTTCAGTCCTGGTTACATAATCACCCCATATTTTCTTCCTGCCACTGCCCCTGAGTAGCGCCCAGAGTTCAAGGGAAATGGTGTTACTCCTTAGCACAGAGGTGACAGGCAGCAATGCCTGGGCTGCATTTGCAGGAAGGTGCTGTTAGGGAGGTATGTGGTATACAAAGCCCAGGGACACCACCTTAGTCCCAGTGCTTCTGCAGGTGTCAGGCAGGCAGATAAGAGCACAGAAAAAGCATGTGTGGGTGCAGACCTAAGCATTTTGCAACCCAAATCTATCATGGCAGGAAGCACAAAACCATGATACGATGACGGGTATCACTGTGCTTAAGTGTCTGCAGTGCCTCGTTTGAGAACAGTCACCTATTGACTGATCACATGGCCTCATAGACTCATTTAGGTTGGAAAAGACCTTTAAGGTCATCAAGTCCAACCATTAACCCAGCACTGTCAAGTTCACCCATAAAGAATGTCCCGAAGCACCACATCTACACATCTTTTAAATACCACCAGGGATGGTGATTCAACGACTACATGCTGGGGTCCTGCTGCCCTCACTTCCCGTCTGGACTCTGCAGCAACAACAGGTGGCATTTCAAGTAAGACTTAGGAGTAGAAAGCTGCGTAATAGTTTCAAACCAGCCCAGGAAATTGCGGGAATGTCCAAGAGAGAGACCTGTTCCATAGCACGGCTATGGTTCAAACAAAGCAGCAGTGTGATCTGAGGATGTCTTGCAGCTGGCAGCCTTCAGCTCAAGGCTTGAAGGCACATGGGTATGTGAATCTACAAGGAGGGTTTTGTCTGGGCAGAGGGGAGGATAAGTGCTTTCTCCTCTGGATCCTCAGAGGTCTGCGTGGTAAGGGATAAGTTGTTCCTGCGTTCCAGATACCAGTGAGGCTCCCCAGATACAGAGTTCCACACCAACTCCAAAGTTTTTTAAAGTAAAATGTGAGAGCAAGCAAGCCTTTTTATTAGTATGACACTACAACTAAGACTTCTGCTGTTTATAAACATAGTCAGGGCTCTTAATAATTTTTGCAGGAAGAAAAATTAACCCTAACTGCAGCACTTTCCTTCTGAAGCTGGTCATACCATGGATTGAACAACACAGAAAGACTGGGCTTTAAGTTTCTCTTTTTTCCTTTCCCCTCCCTGACAGTGAATGGCCTTTATTAGCACTAGAGCTGTGTAAATCCTCTATTCCATCACAGTCCAACCAGAACACCTGCCATTCATTTTTGGTGGAAGGAGGAGTTACGCCATGCATTTGAAGCCTCCTGGCTGGCGGAATGCTGGCTGGTGCTCTCCCTGCTGCCTGCACCACAGCGGGCCTTGTGGGTGTCCCATTTGCACTGGGACCAGCCCAAAATTTCCACAGGTCAGAGGCTGAGGTGCCCATGCTTAGGAGAAGGGATGATGGGTGCTTCTCCTGCTCACGACTGTGCAGTGGGATACAGCAAGCAAGGGGAGCAGCTTAGGGCCTGCAGTACACTGGTACACCCTGGTGTGGGTTTGATGCATCAAGATCCAATCAATTCCAAGATTAGCATAAGTCTGGGCAACAAGTTCAGAGGGACACGTACCTCACCTGGTGCTCGGTGCTAGGGCAGCTTTGGGGGCCTGGTGGGTGGGGGTACACAGCTTGACCCTACACGTGCCCTCTCTGGGCACCCTGCACAGCAGACATGCTGCCCTTTGGCTGATCCTGCAGCCTGGAGCAGAGCCAGGACCTCCTCTGTGGACCTTTGAAACCCCCTGCCCTCCCAGCACAAGCATGGGCCTTTAAGCAGTGGGGGGTGGGAACAGAGTGGGAAGGAGGGGGAGCACGGGAGAAGGCAGCAGGAGGGGAACGGGGTGTGGAGCAAGAGAGGAGCAGAGGGGTAGCAGGAGGGAAGCAGAGGGAGAGCAGGAGAGGAGCAGAGGAGGAGCAGGGGGAGATCGGGAGGAGAAAAACACTCCTCACTGTCCAGGCCACAGGGTATCCCTCTCCTCTTACTCCCTGCCAGAAAGAGGCGTTTGTTTCCAGTGGATGAATTGCAGCCCCTACACCTATGGTTATCAGCTTCAATATATTTTAAATTTAGCCTGCATCATCTGTGTATACATCCAGCACAGAAATACGTTTTTCTACAGCCTCAGGGCGGTGGCAGCAGCCCAGAAGAGGGGAGCAGGGCTGGCTGGGGAAGCTTTACAGCCAGGCTGATGATCCAATTAAGTCAACAAAGCGCCCCAGTGATGTGATATGAGGGTTCAGGAGCTGGGAGTAAAGAGGGAACTGTGGTAGAAGGCAAAGGCAAGCATACATATGGAATAAGTTATGGGGGAGACGGTTGAGGCAAAGTGCAGAAATGAGTTCAAGAGATGCCTGGGCTTTTCTCAAGAGGAGGAAAAGGACTCGAGGGGGTCTGCTTGAAAAAGCAGGAAGGGGGGATTAAGATAAAGCCAAAAGAGGGAAGCCTGCTGTGCTGACTGGCCTTTGCTTGTTCCTGGAGCACATTTTTCCCTTTTTTTTTCTTTTCCTTTTTCATTTGACTGTAGAAGATATTAATGTAATTAAAAGACACAGGAACTACCGGAGAGATCAGCAATAAGTTAAGGGTGAGCAGAAGGGAGTAGGAGTGGGAGCTACCTAGCAACCAATGCACAGAAGCCAATAAAATGTGCAGATAGGCAGCATCCAGAGGAAAAAAAAAAATAAAGCCCAGGACCATGAAAGACAAGCTCAGACATTGCATCCCCAAAGTCGTACAGCGTAAGCAGGAGAGTTGATGACCATGCAGCAAGCTGAAGGATGTCACACCAGGGTCCTGGCACAAATTCCCACCTGTCCCCATCTCTCTGTTTCTGTGGCCCTGTGCCACAGCTTGGTTGTGTTGAGCCCTGGGTGAGGGCTCCACTGGGTTGGCCAGGGCGGCAGTAGCAGACGGAGGTGAGAAGCACAGCTCCCTGCACTGGGTGGCCAAGGCTGCTGGAGCCCAAGGCAGCAGGATTGAGACCTGGGAACCCCTGTCTATAAGTAGCAAGGCTATTTTGGTCTCTGTTTAATCCCCAGGGATGGCAGCATCCCCTCACGACCAGGAGAAGCCTTCCCAGCGGCACCACAACCCCACCTCAGTGGGGGTGAGCTGTGGAAGAGAGGGGAACTGGTCCACAAAGAGTGTCCCTGCTATGCTTTGACCTGCTTAAGGGCTTTTTATAAAATTCATTTGCAGTTAAAGCCATGCGACCTTTCATTTCAGGCAAGACCTCATGTTTGATCCTGTAATTGTGGCAAGATTTCTTTTTTTTAAGAATACAGTTTTACAGAAAACGACACCCAAGAACTGCTCATCCTCAGTTTCGCTGCACTTTTGGGAAAGACAGTAGCCTTTCTCCAGTAAGCCAATCCACTCTTTCCATTCTGAGCCTTAACTTCATATTTTTATTACTGTATTTAAAACTTGTTTGGCTTCAAAGTGTGATGAATTTTCCTAAAAGGTCAAGCAAAATTGGACAAGTTGTCTTTTAATTTACCAAGCTTTAAAAAAAAAATATCATTTAACCAGGTCTGAAAATTCACCCTGTGTATCCTTTCTTTAATGTGGGACTTTATTTACTAAACTGCTGTTACTGTACTGCTGAGTTTTTCACCCAGGTGAAGAATGTTGACAAACAATCTTTTTTAAAAATATGGCATAGTTAAGTAGTTGAGAGATAAGGAGGGAGAAAGAAGGTTTTGCCCTCATGAGTCTGGTTACAGCTGATGTCTCCTCCACTGTCACACATGTCACCTTGCCATGGGCTTTCTCCCAGGCCCTTGGCAGAAACAGCCATGGGACTGAAGAGGAGAGCTAGAGCTCCACTACAAGTTTCAGGGCTTGACCCCATCCTCATTTTTATTTGGCCTCCACTCTCGCATGTTGCCCCATATTAACACCGGTAGCTTCTGCCATGGCTTCCCTTGGTACACTTGCATCGTCACGCTGGCAGGATCAGGGACTTGTTTTGGAGTAATGGATTTGTTGCAGAATTATACCTAACTAGCTGTGTCTTCTGCAAAAAAAAAAAAAAAAAAAAAATTGGTTATGCTGGTTTTTGAGTTTCAGGCCATTAAAAATTACCCAGAATGTACAGTCACTCAGTAGCAGCTTCGTAGATAAGGATTTAATTATAATCCCTGCACTCACTTATACTCTTTGAATACCAAATGTATTTTGTGATTGCTTTCAGAGCACACTATTTTTTTTCCCCCAGAAATTTGAAGGCAATTGAGCAATTTTACAGTCTGGAGTCCTGATTCAGCAGCCTTCCCTGTTCAGCAAAGAAATGATGTGCTTAATTCCAATGGGACTTGGGCATATGCCTAATTGGAACCAACGTTTAAGATCACATTAAAATTAATATCTTAATTTTTGTACTACTTTTGTGCCCCTGTGTGGAACACAATTTGATTCCATAACTCAAACTTTTATACAAAGAGGGTTTTGTTAAATCTCCACTTCATTGCAGATGTTCTTGCAGGTACTGCACAAAGCCCAGAAGGCTTAATGGAAACTTTACATGCAGTCTGTATGTAAAATACTTTGAATATGTTCTGTGTATTACAACTTATGTATGTATGTATGTTTGAATATGATGCATGTATTCAAAGAGGGAAGAAGAGAAAAGGAGACTTCAGAGATACCCTTAGGGGTTTAGCCAAGCAGTTCAGCATAAGGATAGCTGAGAGCAAGCTTGTAGCTGGAAATTCTCCCTGGTTCATGACAGCTTCCAGCTTCTTTGTGTTGTGTTTTTTCGTGGTTTTGTTTTTTTGGTTTTGGTTTGGGTGGGTTTGTTTGTTTGCTTGCTTGCTTTTGGTTTTGCAGCATTTCTTGGTTTACTTTGGCTTCCCCATGTCACATCCCGATCTTGGAGAGTTAGCACCCACTGACTCTGTCGGAGACCCAGGTTAAAGTGCAAGCTCTGGTCATCTAAAAGATTTTTACTCAGTCTTTCCTTGTCATAATCACTTGGCTACTAGCCAGGCAGGCCTGATATTATATCCTTCTCCAGCTTTGGCTTTAAGGAGAAATTCCATCCTTTTCTCAGTGAAGGTTTATAGCAGCTGCTGTGCTTCTGGGGAACAAATCAGCTCTGATGAGCTTGCACTGTCTCATGGAAAAGCCATTTTATTCAAAAATTTCTAAGTAAGCCACAGCCAGAACTCTGGGCTTTGTCCCCGTGCTCTGAATGATGCATGATCTGCAGGCACTGGGTACTGTGCTGAGCTGCCAAAACCTGCTGACCTGGAGGTGACTGGAGGGCAGAAGTCCTGTCCCTGGGATCCGTCCTCTCTCCTGTCTTCTCATCCAGTGGGATCTGGAGAGGAAAGACAGTTTGCAAACAGTCCCTGGAGAATATGTGGGGAGCATCATGATCACTTAAACAGGGTGGGTTAAACCAACGTTTGTGAGCTAAGCCCCCCTCAGTGCTGTTAGTGCAGATTTAGGGGCACTAATAGAAATGTGTGGGGTAAGCAGAGAGTGCACATGGGAAAAGGTTCCAGCAGTTTTGCCCTGCTTCCATCAAACATCTCAGCTTCACTGGAGAAAGGGATAACAAGCCAGGGGATGAGACTCTGGTTACATGCACGTTCAAGAGGGAGAGTGCCTCAGGTAAGAAAGAGGAACTCCACTTTGGACTGGAGCTGTGATTTTGCACACTTGCACATTAAAGGGCAGCTAAACTTCGTCTGAATTTTCCCCAACAGGTTTTTTTATGATCAGCTGGACCAGCATGGAAAATTATTCCCCCCAACAGTTGACTTCATTACAGAAAAACACTTATGGCTGTTTCAAATTGCAGTGTCCTTTATGCCTCTGTTGTCTGCTACAGACTTACCAAGGAGAGGAAGAGAAGGAACTCAGGGCTCTGGGAGGGCTGTATTTCTCTGACCCTGAAGTGCCCTAACTGCAGAGCTTTGCTCTACTTGTGTTCATCCTCCCTCTTCCCAAGAGCAAATCGAGTTGAAGTACTGAGAGACTTGCCAGGTGGGAACCATGGCTCTGAACCCCCACATCATCCCAGAGCCAGAACATCCTTATCCAGCAGCCTCTATGCTGTGAATAACGGCCAGCGCATGTCTCCCATGCAAGTCTGCCATGTGCTGGATCTTGGTTCTTTCAGAACACCCTGCTCACTACAGACCATGCCATCGGGCCCCTAAATCACAGAGTGTCTCCCCAGCATCTACTCAAATCAGAAGAATGCACTGCTTCCCAGCTCATTTAATGCCCCTTCCTGTGGAAGACGTCAAGCTTTGAGGAGCTGGGCAGTCTATAGGGCAGATGGCAATCCCCAAGGAAGTGCATGAAGGAAACATATCTCTATTCCAGCCCCTTTGTGACAGCACCGTTTGGGACAGCAAGGGACCAAAGGGCAGTTTTTTTCTTCAGGAAAGTTACTGCCAGCACATTCTACTACTGCAAGGTAGTATCTGGATATTAAATAAGGAGCGTGGAGGTTTTTCTCACCATTACAATAACACTGGAAACAGCTATGTTATTTATTGTCATATCGTTTTTGCCAAGGGCTTTAGCTCATCTATTGGTCGCTAGAAGCAGAAGCATTTGCAAAACAGTTTAAAAAAACATCTTGCACCATTATTCTTCAGCTTCCATTTCCAAGCGCTCTACCTCAGGAACACGGTGAGACTGCCTGCACACAAAACACTGCCAGATGTAGAAAGTAAACGAGCTGAGAAAACTAAATGCTTTTTATCATTTCTTTCAGCTAAAGTAATCGTACGTGTTACTCTGAACAATCGCAGGAATGAAATTTTCAGAGAGAAGTGTGATGTAGCTGAATTTCAAATTCCCTTTTTCTCCTTCAAATTCCTTTCTGCCTGTTTTTTTTTTTCTCCACACTAGCTAGTACTTGTGCCTGTGGCTAGTCTCTTGGGCTTTCCATGACATGAACAACACCGAAACACCGGCTCTGCCTTTCACCCACTTTTTTCTTTAGCAGCAGCCTGTGCCACAGCCACTACAGCTGAGAGCAAGCAACCACAGCGCGCCGGCGTTCACAGCGTGTTGGCTTTTCTCCCCGCCAAGCAATCGACGTGTAATTGCAGAATATTTGGAGGAAGGGCAGAAATGAGGGTCAGGACCCCGCAACCCACGTCAGCCAGCTGGCCCTGCTGGTTTTACGTGATATGAATCGGCAGCAAGCCCAGCCTCAGCCTGGCTGTGAAACGCGTGGGATAAGGAGTGGAAAGTGCTGGAGCGATCTCCGCGGATGGTGTTCCCAGGGCACCGGGATGTCTGCTGATGAGCAAGGCAGGCACAAGCCTACCCGGCCCCTCTATCTATCAGCAACCACTGGCTACTAGCTTTTGTCATTCAGATGATGATGTCCCTGTGCCTGCGCCGTTATTGGGCTCTTAATATTTAGCAGCTTGTCAGACAGCTTTAATTAGTTTCTCTCGAGAGCAGACTGTGGGTTGGGGGTGCTGCAAAAGGCATTTGCAGAGGTTCAAATGCAAGGCAGTTCAGGCTTAAATGCACAGGATCGGGGGATTAAAAGAAGTGTTAAAAATGTGCCCTTTGTGATATGCCTTCCAGCTCCGGGGGCCAGCATGCACAGCGCTTATGAATATACACAGCTGATTCAGGGAAGCAACCTGCGAAGCAGAGCTGCCGCAGCCCACACAGCTAAGGGATGCCCCTCAAACCCTGTGTCCCCGCACTGATGGGAGCCTCCAAGCCCTCCCCCACCGTATCTCCCCCCACACAAACACACAAGCACCCTTCCCCAAATCACCCTCCATTTCCAGGTGCAAATCAAACCCCCAGCTCTCCCCCACAGAGAACACTCAGATCCCAGACCAGCACCCTGGCATGGCTCTGCCCCTTTGCTTGCTCGCCCCTGCCCACTCACCACTCCCTGCCTCACCCCGTGAGCTCTCCACTCCCCAGTCCTCCAGCACAGTACCTCCTTCAGCGGCACCAGGAACAGACAAGACAACACCTTAAGGCCCATTTGCCTTAATTTTGTCTGTTCCCAGTCAACCACAAACTTTGCACTCCCCCTGACCCCCACTCCTGATATGTCCTATCTATTCCAGACCACCAGCACTGGGGAGAGTGGCCATGTGCTTGTGCACAACCCAGAAATAACCCTGCCACAACCTAGGGTGGACCCATGAGCCAGAAATAATAATTCCAAGTATTTTAAACAGCCAGAGGAGACTGGCTGAGATAAAATGTCACAGGGAATTCCCTGCCAGCACAAACAATATGAATTACAGAATCAGTAACACAAAGTATCATTAACTGTTCTGGCTCTGCAAAAATAGGTTGTGCCTCGGCAGTCCAAAGGCAGCACAGGGTGGTTTGAGAAGGGTGGCACAGGGATACGGCTGAAAAGATACCAATTAGTGGTTTTGTTCGTGGCTTTTGTGGTGTTCTGTGACCTCCCTGGTGGTGTGTATTCTTCAGAGGTCGGGCTAACCTGGATCGTTGGCATTCAGATGTTAATTTTACTTCAGACGCAACAGAATAAAAAGTGGCCAGCCTGGCATTTGGGACATACACATTGCTCCTCAGCAGGTCAGAAAGGCAGCTGGGCTCTCAAGGAAGCACATGGCCTGGCTTGGCTGTTTCTAAATTGAAGGCAAGCTTATAGTGGCCAGAGCAGCTAATTACATCAGATTTTGAATACTTAAGGAAAAAAAAAATCCCGGTATGGAGCAGCTCTGCCTTTCCTCGTGTTTCTTAGTCCACATTCACTCCTGCATGTGCTAGACAGTGTATCGTAGGGATTGTTCGTACTTGCTGGTTTCTCAGTGCAGCAGAGGTGAAAGCTGCACAGATATTTAACAGTGATTACTCTCACATTCGAACACTTTGTAGATATTTACTGCAGGCAGCAATATCTCGGTCCTACAGATAGGGAGTTTAAGAGAGACAGGGATAACCTGAATTGCCCAAGGTCCCAAAGGAGAAGCATGGTATGATATCAGAGCTGCAAGTCTAGTACCCTTACCTTACAGACCCATGCAAAGCCTGTTAGACCAAACCTTTCTGCATTAAAAGAGATCTCTTTGTGGAAACCAGTGATCTAGCTCCCATCTTGTGTTTATTTGGCAAATTGCTTCTCACACGCTGAGCACTGCCTTTGAAATCTGTCCTGAACCCCCACAAGTCCAAATGCTTCTTGTCCGCTCCAGGTGACCACCAAACCTCTTGTTGCAGCCAGAAGTACTTTAAAACTAGATAAAAATTAGTAGTTTAATTTTTAAATGCTGGAATATTCAACAAGGTAGAAACCATTTGCTTAGAGAGACTTCTTGTGCAGCTAATCAGCTCGGTAAATGCATCGTTTTGATAGAAAGCTCTCCCCTCTTTGCTTGGTAAACACAGCATACATTATCCCTTTCTGCATGATGACATTAAATAAGGGAAATGGTGCTGCAGACAGGGTGGTTTCCTGTGCTTCTGGTTTGATTCAGGCAGTTTCCAGATGACAAGATCTCAGATCTGGGAGGGACGTGGGAACTACCTATGTGGGTTACAAGCAGCCTTGCCACTGCCTACCTTGATGTCCTTGGTCTTATCAATTGGCCCAAAGTTCATTAATTTTAGGCTTCAGGAAGGGCTGTGGGGTTTACAGGTTACTGATCTTTCTAAGCTTTTACGTGTGACTCTGCATAACTCCCTTCCATGCGAAATGGAAGCAAATGGGCAGCAAAATCTTGTGTGGGACCACCAAGATCCCTGGACCCCTAACATGGAGGCAAGCAGGCAGGATTAGCCAGGCAACACATCCAGCCAGGAAGAGCCAGTGAACAGCAGTCTGTCAGGGAACATACTGGCACCACTTAATCAGATGTTAATTCTAAGGAGGTAAGGAGCTGGCTGGAGCCTGCAAAGGATGCTGGAAAGGATGCAAAGGAAAGGCAGGGATCCACTCCCCAATTTGCTCTGCAGAGAGCCAGGATATGATTTGGGGTGTAAAGCTGTATTAGTGTCCAAAGTGCTGCTTCGCTCTCACAGGAATCCTTTGTGTCCTTAATGAAGGGAAAAAACAGGGCTTTATTCCGAAGCTTTGTGTATAATCAGATGCCATGTTGTAAGGCTCTGGAAAACACACCAGAAATAATAATTGGGGGGAAATAAAAGGTTTAGTTCAAAACAGTGTGTGATTTAAATAAGAAGTGAAAAAGAAAGTGTGCAGGATTTGAGCATCGGAAGAATGAACTTTTAATTCATTTGCATTGAGATTACAGGGGGAGGGGCAGCATTTAAACTGGTATAAAAAACTAGTTTAGATGTAAATGAGAGATAATGGTCTTTGGTAGGGAAATAAGCAGGGGGACGAACTTTGGCCACCAGGAGCCCGCCATAAGTCCTGGCATTGTCGCTGGAGCTGGAAGCCCCAGATGCAGTAATTAGCAATGAGTTTGCAGATCTCAGCACCGGCGGAACAAAAGGGCATCGCTGAGGAGCTGGGCTGCCAGCTGGGAGAAGGGGAAGTGAGCTGGCATGCCACAAGGGTTCATTACCCAGCAGTTTGCAGAGGGGAAAAGAAAAAGATCCGAGGTTGCAGCCTGGAGCAGGCATAAAAGCAATCTAGGGTTTGTGGGGTTTAATAGTTCCCAGAGCCCTGGCATTTTCAGCTGAAAAATTCCCTCAGCAACTGAGCCAAAGGGGTCAAGATTTTTAAATAGGTCTTGCAATGCCCATGGAGACAAGTGCTGCTATTCTTTAACCCTGAAAGTCTCGGTTGATTAGTTTGGAGCAGGGAGGCAGGCTGCTGCAGAGATGCAATTTGATTTGTAATCATCCCATAGGGCTGAGCTCACCTCCCTGAGAAGGAAGGGGGAGTGGGAAACAGATCACAAGCCCCTGCATGCTGCAGCCACACTGCTTCTCTCCTCCCTCAGCCCAGGACAGTGTCCTCTGCACAGGCAAAGTTAAAGCCATGTCCATACAGCCCACGTGCATCCCACATCCTGCACGGATGTCATTAGACAAAGTTTGGCCAGAGATCTGAGGTTTGTTACTGGTATTATACGTATTTATTGGAGAAGAGCTGGTCCCAGTTTGCTCTAGGAAAAGTCCAGCTCTCTCCCCAGGATCCCTCAGCTCATGGAGGGATTGATTGATCTGCTTATTACTATCATGTTATTATTATTTAATTGCTTACAAGGAATGGCCTCCCTGGAATGCAGTGTTTGTTTCTGCTGAGGCAATCAGGGTCCAAATCCTTCAACCCAGGACGGCAGCTTCTGGCGTAGCAACCCCCCTGCTCAGGAAAGAATGTGCCTCCACTCCCTTCCCTGTGTGGTGTGGAGCCTTTCCTACAGGCACGTCTGATGAGTACGGCCTGTTGCCACCTCTCGGTGGCCCGCCCAGTCCCAGGCAGATTTGTTATAGATTTACATGGGGACTGACCTGGTTTCTGGGTCCTGTCAGGAAAAAAATAACTCTGCTGTCATCCGAGTGATGCATGAGGCAGGCAGCCCCTGGGTCAGACCCAGGCTTTACGTTCCCAGGAGTGATGGAGGAATTCAAAATAGCCTCCTGCTCCTGTGCCACAACACTTAATGCCTCGTATGGCACCTAAATACTGCTGGGGGTTCTGCCAGCTGAGGGTCTCGACCCCTCACAGCATTACTGAGCAAGTCCTCACCCCTCACTCCAGGCTTTCACTCACAGTTTGCAGGTGCCACACTTTTTTATTAGTTTCTTACCAATGTGTGTCAAACAAAGTCCTGAAGCCCACCACAAGGATCATTTCTCTGCCTTCTACTCTCCCTCCTACTCTCCCTTCTCCAAGCTAATCCTATTTCTCTGCAGCACTGCCTTGCACTCCCCTGCCTGTGTGCTGCCTGCTGTGCTCTCAGTCACTACCACACTACTCCAAGGCCACTGCTCCTGCCCCACAGAGCATTCCTGTGTGCATGTGTAAGCACACACCTACCTGTGTGCAGGAAAAGCAGAGAGGGAAGAGAAATAACCTGGGCTTTCCATGGTCTTTTGCGGCTGCTCAGAGCTGCAGGCAGGTCTGGCTTTGCAACGTGGGCACCAGGGTCCTGTCCCTCACTGATGGATGCCAGGAAGCATTTCTGTGCCACTGCAAAAGGCAGGGAGTGTTCCTGGCATAGGCGATCCCAAGGGGAGGAGGAAGGAGCAAAGGAGGAGTCTCTTCTCCTTCCCATACACCTTCCTAAACCTGGGCTGGGAGACCGCTCACTTCAAACCCAAGGCTGGAGCCTGGACCCTGGTATGGGGCTGGTCAGGTCCTGGAGAAGGGAACTCCATGCTGATGGCTTCAGGACAGCCCAGCCTGGGGAACCACGGGCTGCGCCGCTGTATTTTCAGTGAAGTGTGCAAAGGAGACATGAGGTCATAACCCTTTGACAGCAGAGTTGGGCACTGTTCGTCCAGATATCCAGCCCCTGCCCTGACACCCACGACACAGCATGTGCCTGAGCAAGTTGTTTGTTCTCTGAGCCTGGAAGTGTGCCATATGTTACCCCTGGCCTTTGGGGAGAGAGATGTCCCTCATTCAGTCCAAGGCTTCCTGGCAAGCTGGTATCTGAACATACAGAAGGGGATGGAGGATTGATATCTAAAATGCAGAAGCACATGGAGGAAAAGCCTGAGTCCCTCCTCGAAAGAGCAATGTGTTAGCATGGGCAGCAACCATCTGTCCACCGTGCTGGCTGGCCTGCTCCAGGCAGCATGCAGCTGGCATTGCCAGGGGGGCACAGCTCTGCTGTGCCGTGCAGGGCTGGGATCTTTTTTAACATCTCTTTTATTGAAGAAACAACAGACATTTCCAGTCAGATTCACCACTGGCATCACCCTAACCACATGGCTAGAGCAGTACCAGGAGCAGATTCAGCTTCAGGACTTGATTGTCTTCCAAAATGTGAATTGGCATGGGGAAAAGCCACTAAGGTCAGGATCCTCCCAGTGTGGAGCTACTGTACTAGAGCTGCCCACAGCCAGGGGAAAAAAAAGGCCACAGATAGGCAGTAGAGGGGACTGCAAGCAGCTAAGGGCTATGCATTTAACAGAGTTATTTGTAATAACCATTTTTAAAATGCTGTGCTGCATGGATTAGGATTGCAAGTGTTT